TCCCCCATCTGGAGCCTCCCCCCCCCCGCCCCCCCCCCCCCCTCCCATGCAACTCGAGGGGCGGGGGGGCGGGGGCGGGCGGCGGCTGGGGCGCCCTCCTGCCCTGGACAAGGGGAAGGGGGGAGCGGTCGGCCCGAGACCTCCTCCGCCAGGAAGCCGACGCCGCCCGACGCCCGCCCCCCCCTCCGCGCACGCGGGGCGCGCTAGATACGCTCGCGCCCCCCCCCCCCCCCCTGCAAACTCCGCGCGCGCAACTGTTCCTTTCCGGACAAGCGCCCGCGAAGCGCGCTCTCTCGCGCGCGCAGACCTCCGAGGTCGGCGGGGCCCATCGGCCCCCAAATTGCCCCGGAGCCTCCCAAATGCCTTAAATTGTCAGAACAACCCCCCCGCGAACCCCCCTGCAGTTCCAAGGGGGGGCCAAGCGGCGCCCGTGAAACTTCCGAGCGCTCCGGCCCAAGACCCGCGCGCGGTGGCCAGCTGGGCCGATGTCTGCTATATACAGCGGTTGTTCCACATGCTAACCCCGTGGATCCATTCAGCTCGGCCTGGCAAGATTAACCCTTGCACGCGCTGGTTTCCCGCGAGTTCGTGTAAGCTGCTGCTCGCCGAACTGACCCTGCGCGCGTCGAGTTTCCGCGGGCGTGCGAGACTGCCGCTGGGCGCCGCGGACCTAATCTACGTGTCCCGACTTGTCTGGCCGAAGAAGGGCATGTTTCTGCGCTTCAGTGGACTTCGTCGGTGGCCCGGGCGCCGCGGATCTGCCTTGGCCGAGCGTGGTTGCGTCAGCCTGCGCGCCGCAATGGGACTCGTTTAAGCCTATCTGGCTCGGCCACAAGTGTTGGCAGCGCGCGCGAAGGGGTGGGGGGGTGGGGGGGGCTTCTTAGAAGGGGCCTGCTCCGTGGAAGGCGCAGGCCTCGCAGCTATAGACGAGGCCCGCGCCTGCTAAGAAGCAGGGGTACCTCTGCGGGGCCCTCCCACCTCCCCCCGCCCACCCCCCTTCCGCGCGTGGCTGAGTGCTTCGGCGGTCTAGGAAGAACGTCTCGCCGTGCGGGGTGGCCGGTTCCGCCCGGGCTGCGCGGGCCCGCGCGGTTCCGCGCGGCGCGCGCTGCTCGGGCGGCGCGGACTTTCTTGGCCCCGCGGGGCCGGGTCGGCCTGCGCAGCGCGCGCTCGCGCGGTCGGCCTGGGCGGCCCTCGGCGCCGCAGACTTCCCCGGCCCCGCCGGGCCGGTTCGGTCTGGGCGGCGCACGCCCGCTCGCCGCGCCGCGCCGGCGCGGGCGCCGCGGAGTCGCATGATTTTAAACGGGGTCGACTGCGGCAGACGCGACCGCCCGGGGATCTCCCCGAAAGATATTCCCGCGATTTCCCGCGAGTCGCGAATCTCAAAAAACTCGCCGCGAATCTTTGCCAAGTCTTCGAGCCTAAAAAATCTCCCAGCGAATCTCCGACACGTCGTCGCACCTGAGAAACTCCAAAGCGAATCTCTGCAAAATCGGCGCGCCAGACAAATCTCGCTGGACTGCAACCGGAAATGCCGCCGAGATTTGCGGAAACTTTCGCGGGCAATATCTCGAGATTTCTGCGCGCCGATGATTTTCTGGGGACTTGATGGAAATTGTCGCCAGATAGGAGACGTGCTGGAGATTTTCCAGAGATTTCTGCGCGCCGGAGATTTTCGGGATATGTCCACGGAGATTTGCGCAGCCCGCAGACTTTCTGGAGATTCCCTTGGGATTTGCGGGGCCCGAAAATCATCCAGAGATTCTGGGGGTGCCCAGGAACAGTTTGGACATTCCCCCTGATGTTTTTCATCCAGAGGGCGTCTGTCGCGCCTGCGCCCCATCTAGGCTCCATTCGGCCTTGCTCGTTCGGGGCGGTTGCCAGAAAATTGCTCGGCTTCGCCTGGCTGGTTCGACCTGGGCGCCGCCGGTGCTTTTGGCTGGGCCTGACTGGCTCGGCCTGGCTGCCGTGGACTTGCCGTCTTCTGCTAGCTGGCTCTGAGATTGGCGTAGTTCTGCTGGGTTTGAACTGGGCGCTTCGGTCTCGGCACCGCAGACTTGTCTCTCATAGCTTTGGTTCAGCGCGGTGGTCGCGAGCTTGCGCGCATCGGGCCTGGGCGCATCAGAACGGGCGCCCCGAATCTGTCGAATGCGGCATGACTGACTCGGCGTGGGCCTTGCCTGGCCTGGCCGGGTCGGCCCGAGCGGCGCCGCGTCGCGCTTGGTTCGGCGCGGCGCAGCTCGGCGCGGGGTCCGCGATCTCTCGCCGGTCGGCCACGCGGCACTGCGGATTCGGGCGTTTCGGCCATGCCAGTTCGGCCCAGCGGGCGCGACGATCTTGAGATTGGCCTGCCTGGCTCGGTCGGGGCGGCTCGGGTCTGCCCGTTTCGGCGCGGGCGTTTTTGCGGGCGCGGCGGACGTGGCGCCGTGGCCAGGCAATGCCGGCCAGGGCGCCGCGGGCCATCCTGTTTCGGCGCGGCTGGCGAGGCTCGAGCGCCGCGCATTTGCTTGCATCTCGCAGCCTGGCGCAGCATGAATTTCATAGGCTTTGTCGGCCCACGTGATTCAGCATGCGCGCGGCAAGATCGCATTGTTCGGCCTGGGTTGATCAGCCGGGACGCCGCTGGCGGTTTTTTCCGCGTTCGGCGCGGGGCCGCAACAAGCTGCCAGAGGATTCAGTTCGGATTGGCAGCCGCGGCCCTGGCGCCTCGGACCTTGCTGGTTCGTCGTGCCTGTTCCGGCGCGTTTGCGGCGGACTGGCCTTTGGACACCCGGGGCACCGAAAGAAGGGGTCCAATGCCCAACGTCAAATGTGAAGAAACCGTTTGGGCTGCGGCAACTTCCGTAAAACATGTGTCAAAAGAGCCTGCACGCCGTCGCCGTATTTGCCCTCGCCTTCAAGCGTCGCAATTACCGCCGCAACTGCCATCGCCACTCTGACAATCATCACCGAGGCGATCTCAAAGGCCATCATGAGAAAACGTGCGACAATTCTCGGGTCCTCTGGCACATCGTCGCTTCGTCGCTGCCGCCTACGTTGTCGTCGCCGTCGCTGTCGCCGCGTCGCCGTCGCGGTTGCCAACGTCGCCGCCGCCGCCGCGAACCGCCGCCGCGGTTGCCGCCGTCGGAGCGCGTCGCCGTAGCCGTCGCAGTGGCCGCGGTCGTTGTCGTCGCTGCCGTCGCCGCGGGGGCAGCCGTTGTCGACGCTGCCACCGTCGCCGTCGCCACTGCCGTCGCCGCCTCGCCGCCGCAGTCACCGCCGTTGTCGCGCACCCCCATTTTCGTCAACGCTTGCAGCGCCCGTTGCCATCGTCGACGCCCGTCGCCTTCACCATCGCCATCGACTGTGTCGTTGCTGATCCAATCAGTACTGCGGCGATGTGTGGTTCAATCTTGGCAAGACGACGGCGGGACATCGAAGGCTGGCAACTAACCGCAAATACTCCCCCGAGGCAGTGCGTCTTGTTCCGCGAGCTTATTGGCATATTGGGGCCCAAACGGAGAAAATGCAATCCTCCCGCGGAGGCCACTACTGACGATCGGGGAGATGGGGATCCCGGATGGCGATGAAAATGATGATGATGATTATGATGATGATGCTGATGCTGATGCTGATGCTGATGATGATGATGATGATGATGATGATGATGATGATGATGATGATGATGATGGTGATGCTGATGGCGATGGTGATGGTGATGATGATGCTGATGATGATGTGAAGGACGAGACGGGAAAAATGACGAGTTTAATTGCCAGCCGAAAGCTTAGAGGAGGGAAGGGCTAGTTAGAATTAAAGGTCCTCTGGGGTTTGCACTTTGGCCTGTCGGTCACAATCAGAACGATCAGTCAGAAGCATCCTGCTGCCGCAGACATCCAAACAACCTTCGTGAGGCATCCCTGCGTCCTCTTTCCCCCCCTCCGCATCGACGATAGGGGGTACAACAACGAAACTAACGCCCAGCCCGAGCCAGAGGTTATTCCGCCGGCCCGTACTGTGCCATCGCAGGCGTTTGCCTGCGCGTTCGTGGCTTATTGAGGGTCTTTTGGGGGCCTCTTGGTGCCTCTTGTTGGGCCTCATGCGGGCCTCGTGGGGCCTCCAGGGTGCCTCCTGGGCTTTCTTGGGGGCCTCTTGGGACCTCCTGGAGGCGGAACGCTCGAAGTGATGGTTCGTATTGCCGTTTTCCTCTTGGGAGCGTCTTGGGGCCGACCCCGAGGCCTCCTCCACTCTGGTCGACCACAAAGAGGGTCCACTTGGTGCAATACATTTGGGGCATTTATTTTGCAAATGCACTGCGCCGGAGAATTGTATTGTATTGTATTGTATTGTGTTGCGCACGCCAACCGGAATGTACTGCACGCCCCAAATCTATCACAACCTCACAAATCTATTGCACCAAATCTACTGCACCACCCCCCTGGACCCCCATGTGGGTCAACCCGATCCAGGGCACTCCTCACGATACGTCGACGAGGGATCGGGATTGCCGATGATGCCCCTGGCCTCGGGTGCCCCCCTGGATTTCCACACAGGTCCCACGGCCTCCCTCCAGAGAGCACCCCTCTCACGAGGCCAAGGGGCTCTCCAGAACTGCGGGGAAAGCTTGGGGGCACACTTGGAGGCCGCTCGAATGGGATCCGAACAGACGGGACGGGGATCGGTGGAACGCGCCGCATCACCGATGCATCGGTGACGTCCGCGTGGAGACGATCGGGCTTCACATCGAGCCGCACCGCCGATGCAGCAGCGACGTCGGCGTGGGGAAAAAATCGGAAACCACGTCCAGCCGCATCGTCGATGCATCGGCGATGCGGCGCGATTCGAGAACCCCATCTACTTGGACCCCATCTGGGCGACCTGGCACAGCTGGCCAGCCCTCCTTCCCTCCCTCCCCCCTCCCCTCCCTCCCCCCTCCCCTCTCCCCCTCCCTTCCCTCCCTCCCTCCCCGCCCTCCGTCCCTCCCTCCGTCCCTCCCTGGGGGATGAGGAAGGGCGCGTGCCGTCCTTGCAGGCGTCCTCTGGCTGGTAGACGAACCAGGCGTGCAGCCTCACCCCGTCCTCTCCGGCGCCCCCCCCCTCTGAAGGGCGCTCCGCTCTGCCGAACACGGCATGAAGGCGCTTCGATGATCATCATCGAGGATCGAACTTTTCTGCGGGGGGGTCCTCCTGAGGGCCCATCGTCGCTACAGCTGGACCCAGCCCCATCGTCGCTACAGCTGGACCCAGCCTCGGATCCTGGCCAAAACGAGCCCCAGGATAGGTCGGGGTCGCGAGCCGAAGCCGCCGTCAAGAAATGGTTTTGCTTCGAGCGATCCCCACCTGAGAACGCGAGGCGGGATCTCCAAGGCGTACCAACACCCACGGGGCCTGGCAGCCGCGGCATGCAATCGTCCTCCGTCGAAGACACGAGACGCGATCCCCGGGGAGCACCAGCACACTTGGGGCCTGGCGGCAATGGTGTACAGGACGGGCGCGGTGGGTCGGGTGCCCGTGCCTTCATTTTTGTTTTTGAAATAAAAAACAACCCGCCGGGTGGGGAAACAAGTCCGGAAACATTGGCCCTGGATGCCGTTCGCCGCTTCTTTGGCTCCCGGAGGCCCAGGGGCCGCCCAACAACCACCCAGGATGAAACACTTGCACTGGAGAGAATCTTGGGGTCCAGGGGACCGTCTCCAGGAGAAGGGGGAAGATGATAGGGATGGTGGAAAAGGGCAGGGAAGAGGGGGAGGATAACGACCAAGATGCATGGCGTGAAACGCCAATGTATGCATATATAACCGAAGTGGAACTGGACATGTTTGTCCACTTCCTGGCAGAGTCCCTGGGCGCTCGTGACGACTTCCAGAGGGCTCACTCCCCCAGGTGGGTCCCCTGACATATCGCTCGCGCGTGCGCCGGTCAGGTGCCTCCCCCCGCGCGCCATACACACCCAGGTGGCGCGCCCTCCCCCTCCCCTTTGGGTGCGTGCACTCCCCGAAGTAAACTCTCCCCCTTTCCAGCGCGTCTCGACTGAAGCCCCCCCCCCCCCAGGTGGGTGCCTCCGCATAAGATCGTGCACTGGTCAAGTGCGGGCTTCGACAGTATGGCGTTGCGAGACGTGACCGCCGTGCCATCGGTGCCACCTCATCGACGGGCCTGGTGTTCTTCAGTGGAGCCGTGTGCCGCTCCGGTGACGTTTCCTCGGCTCCGCGGGGTCTCCTTCCCTGCGGCCTTTGCTGCTGGGCCCGCGCCTGGCCACTTCCGCGGCCAGGCGCCTCGGTGCCCTACCGGCAGCATTGCTTGCACGGGCTGGGGCAACCGCCGCTCTCCGCCCCTGCCCGCTGCTCCCGCAGCTGGGCGCCCTCGCCCCGCCAGACATGTGGCTGGGCGCCCCCCGCCAGACCTGCGGCTGGGCGTGCCTGCCACTCCCAACTGTGATGCGTGCGCCGGCCGGGGCCCCCCCCCCCCCTACTCCCGCCTTCCGCCCTGATCGCCGCTGCCGGGTTTCTGGCGGCGTTTGGCGGCCGCGTGCCGCACCGCGCCACCTTAGCAGTTGACCCCCCACTTGCAGCCTTCGGCTGCTGCCCCCCATGGCGCCGCGGCCATTGACCTGCTGCGGCGTTGCAGCCCAGCCTCATCAGCGCAGCTTGGAGGTTCGCAGTTGCTTGCTGCCGCGAGCGACTCGCTGGCCAGCCCCTCTGTCCTGGCCTCCTTGCACCACGCAGCCGCTGTGCGCTGGAACATCTGGCAGCATGGCCTTTTGACGAACACATGGGTCCCCCCAACCACTCATTCGCCACTCAGCCCTGCAATGGTTCGACTTGTTCTACGCCTCCAGCGCCTGCAGCCAGTGCCTCAGCCCCTCGGTGCGCGCGCGCGTTCAGCAACGGCCGGCCGCACTGGTCACTCATGCCAAAGACCTTCGAGCTGTGAGTGCCTTCCCCCCCTTCTCTTGCAAGCGGATAAGAAATACGCTCCGCCCCAACTACTAGAGCGCGCTAGCGGATTGCCTCTGCCGCGCCGCGACGGAAAACAATTGCCCACTTCGGGCCCTCCTGGAGGTGTTCAAGGAGCTCCCTTTGGGCAACTTCGAAATCTTTTCGAGCCGTGCTGAGGCTACCAGGGATGTCTTCGAGCTATGTTTGAGGGCTTCTTGAAGTTATCGTGAACGTTGTTTGGATCGTCTTCGTTGTCTTGAGGGCTCATCGGGAACTCTCTGGGCCCCTCGGAGGCCCTGGGGGATCCTCGTGAGGCATTCGAGGCGAAGACGGCAGGGACTTTGGATGGGGTGCCCCGCATCTGTGTGTGTGTGCGCGTGTGCGGGGGGGGGGGCTCCGTGCCATGTCAGAAAGATAGGGAGCACACGGGCGAGGAGGGACGAGAGGAGGCGAAGGCGCAGGATGCGGGTGAAGACGAGGAGGCCTCGTCCTCCCCCTCTTCCTCCCGCCCCTGTCCGTCGCATTGCTGCTTTGCCCCCCAACTCGCATTCGCATGTCCGTCCTCCGTGACAATCTCGACGTCCTGTGAGCGGGAGCAACAATTACGAGGGGGAGAAAAACAAAATGGGTGGCGAAGAGGTCCTCCTCTGTATTCTCCTCGTCCATCCGCTAGTCCTCCATTTCCTCCTCCTCCTCTTCCTTTTCTCCTCATGCTCCTCCCTCTCCCCCTCCTCACGGCTCTTGCTTTGGTCCCCCCGCTGGGCGGCGGATGCATATGGTGGGAGGGATTCGCACACGGGAGCCATATGTTTAGATTTCACGCGGGGCGGGGTCTGTTTTGTAGTTCCTGTGCCTTTTGTTTCGGCTCAGCAGCTGTCTCATTTAGCCCAGGAGTGCCCCCGACAACTCACAGGTGATCGCCACGTTTTCGTGGGCGTTGGCCTAAAAACTTACAGCAAAACTGAGCCAACCACTACACGTAACGCGTCGAACTATTTCCACCGCCGACCTGGCCTGGTCGCTGCATCCAGAACTCAACAACTGGTCGTCGCTCTTCCCCTCCTCATCTCTATTGAAAGCAGCTCCCGTGCATCCAATCACCTAGGCAACTCGAGTGCGAGGCGCCGCGCGAAGCCTGCCTTCGCGTGAGATTCCAGGATTGGGGTGATTTCGTCGACGTTTTCAGGGGCAAAGAAGGTGGGCACCACCAGCACCGCGAGCAGCCTGGCATGGTCCTCTTGCTGGCGTGGCCCCTGCTCTGCGGCGCTCCGCTCGAGACATCTCAAATCTCCGGCCCGGGGCGGCACCGTGGACCTCCCCGCTGGAGGTGGCCACCCGGTGGCGGCGACGTCCCCCGAAGTCTTCAGGGCACCTGTGAAGGGGCCCTGGGACACACGAGTCAAGAGACACAAATAACATGACTCCCTATGTTTATATGTCCTAGGTTTTGGTTCCCCCCCCACTTCCTATATTTTCCAATATTTTCGGGGGAATCGACGATTCATTGTGTCTGCGTGTTTTTTGTCCCTCCTGAATCTGGTCATCATCAAGATGACGGCCTTCGAAAAGCCAGCCCGCCCCTTTCTCGACGAGGCGACTGCCTCTGAAAAGTCAGCGCGCGCTCTTGACGCCCGTCGCTGCCGAGGGCCGAGCACTTGCGCACCGCTGGTGTAGAGCCTGCAAAGCTCGGAGGTGGGCCAGCTAAGACAACGACTTCTCTTTCGCCCACATCCGCCCAAAGATCGGCCCCGCAATCCCTCCTGGGGTCCATCTTGGCCCGCTGTTCGACACGGACTCAGCCGTGGCGTCGAGAAGCCTCTAGGAGGCCCAAACGTCAAAGAAGAACAAGCGGCATGAATAGTAACTTTCGGAGCTCCACGCGGATTTCTTGGATCGGCGCTGGGCTCCAGGACACGCCGTCAAAGTGAGCCCAGCGCCGATCCAAGAAATCCGCGCGTAGCTCCGAAAGTTCATGTTTACGCGGCTCTTCCAAGAGGCCTCGGAGGAACGAAAGGCGCCAGGGAGGCCGCCGCCGTTGACTCGCCTGGCCCTCCGACGGGCGCGCCCGGGAGCAAAGGAACTGCCCGAACACGGGCGGGCACAAAATCGTGAAACAATTTCGCTGGCCCAACGGGCCAGACGCGTGCCGAGATCTCCGGTAACTGGTTGGCGAAGTATATGTGCAGTTATGTCGGTTATGTCATCCTACGTGCCTGTGGACTCCAGCTCCGACCGCCGCGGCCGGAAGGCTCTGCTCTCGCAGGCAAAGCGTGCTTGGCTGTCCCGACCTTCCCGTTCAGGGCGCCCAGCTACGTACACTCATAGTCTTAGGTCGGGCGTGTCCTCCTGCAGGCGGACTTTGGACGAAAAACAAAACGTACACAACAACATACCCCCAACATAATCAACACTTGCTAGATCGTCCCCATGCTATTTTGTGGCGAACGCTTCTCCTGTAGAGGAACACGCCCGACCTAATCGTAGTGCTGCCGTGTGGACCGCTGGCACAAAGAACGAAGGGGCACGCCTGGCCACGGGGAGCCTCAGCCGCAAACGGGTTCCCCAGCCTGTATCCTGAAAAGCGGCCTGAAAGCCAGAGCCCCCCCCCTGAGCCCAGAGGTCCTTATTTCAGTGTGTTGACTTATGTTGCTCCCATCGTACTTGAGGACCACATCCCAGAAATAATCTCGAACACCAAGAAAGGTATCGAAACAATGTCGATTGAATATCGCCTCCTAGAGCTCGACACGTGACAACCTTTTTCGGTATTTTTCTTGGTGCTCGAAATTCTGTCTGGTGATCAAGGCTGCAGTAAGCTAGAACATCATAAGTCTTGACTGTAGGACACCTGGCTGGATGAGCCGTGTGTATCAGCAAGGTCCGCGAACAAAGCTCCCCTGCCCACAGAACCGATTGGCCGCCCCACGGCCGTCCACCTTGAGAAACGATAGACACCCGCGTCTAGACGGACGTCTGGCCTGCCAAGCAACACCAGCGCTTTGAAGCCTGGCTTCGATTGGATCATCAACATCGCTGAATTCCGCAGGTGATCATCGTCGTTGTCGTCGTCATCATCGCCGGCCGAATGGCAGAGATCGGTCGCGTGTGCGAAGCCCGCGCGAGCGGTGGCACGTTTGTGCACCAACCTTCAGGCACTGCCTCTGCGCAATGGAATGGCATGGAACAACTAATCATGATCAACCTCACCATCATTATCATCGTCGTCATCACCCCCATCGCAATCACTCCCGTCCCCACCACCATCATCACCTACATCCTCATGCTAATCCTCGTAACCACCACCATTTACATACACATAACCATCATTAACAAGGCACCATCGCAATCCTCGCCACTATTATCACCACAACCCTTCAAACACCATCAACACTGTCGTCACCATCATCAAGATCACATCCTCATCACCAGGAGCACCATCATCACCATCATCACCACCATCATCGCCATCACCATGACCATGACCATCATCATAATCATCACCATCAGCATCAGCATCATGATCATCAGCATCATCAGCTTCATCAGCATCATCAGCATCATCGGCATCATCATCCTAATCCTCGTCGTCGTCGTGATCTTTGTTGTTGTCGTCGTCAATGTCATGTTCGGCGGTCACAACCATCATCACCACTACCATCACCATCACCTTCAACGCCATTATCTAGCCACCGCCGCTGCCGCGGCGGGAGGAGGGACTGCCCGCTCCTCGAACGGGAGGTCCCAATTCGCCGGGCTCGAGAACTGCGGGGGGTTCATCCTCGGGGACCTCTGCGTCCCCGGGGGCACGGGCGCGTATCTCGCGGCGGCGGCGCCAGGGGTGTGGGGTAGGGGAGGAGGAGGAGGAGGACGAAGAGGGAGGATCCCAGAGGAGGAGGATGAGGAAAGGCGAGAACTATTTGTTTTCCAGTATCATGTATTTTCTTTCACACAGACATACATATATATATATATATATATATATATATATATATCTTCGAAAAAACCTTAGGGATAACACATGGTACCCCGGCGGGGGGGCCAGGGGGGGGTCACAGCAACGGAGGGGCGCGGCGCGCACCCCCCGAGGCGCGCCGCCTACGTCGTCGTCGTCCAAGCCCACAGTGCCTGTGCACACAACACGGGCTCTGTAAACCACAATGCCTCTGTGCACCAGAGCTGCTGCAGAAATCCCACCAGCCCTTTGGGCGACAGGTGGTCTTAGGAGAGTCCCTGTCCTCTTCCACAGCCCTCTTCCCTTCGGGGAGGGGAACCCTCCCCCTCCCCCTCTCTGAGGATTTTTGGGAGGGGTCGCGAGGTGTTGGAGGCTCCATTTTCGGCCCCTGGGAGGGCCAATGTTTTACACCCCTCACGAGGATCGTGGCCTCCGGAGGGGGGGAGCTACGTTTAGTACCCCCCCTCTTTTGACCGACCGCCTTCAAGATGGCCCCAAGAGGGCTCTCAAGAGGCCCCCAAGAGGGTTCCAAGAGGGCTCCTAGAGAATCCGAGACGGCTCCAGAAGGCACCCGAGAGGCACCCAAGAGGCCCCCGAGCGGCCTCAGAGAGCTCAAGATGACCTCTAAGATGGTTCAAGTAGCTCAAGATGGCTCCCAAGATGCTCCAAGCGGCCCCAAGACCGCTCCAAGACGGCTCGAAATAGCGTCAATTCAATGACGTCTCAGCGATTCTGCCCAAACGCATGCACTAACGCGCGCCAGCAAGCCTTCCGTGGCGTAAACAGTGGAGCGTTTCGCGCGAGCGGCGGCGTCCTCGGCCGCGTCGTGCTGGATCGCGCGTCTGCGCGCAGCATCGCGCAGGGCGCGAGCAAGCGAAGGGTGCGATTGCGGGCTTCGCCGCCGGAGTCGTTCGTGCATTGCGCTCCGGGTAAAGCGACGCCCGCGCTTTTTGCAAACGGAGGACGCGCGAGTCATCCGGTCGCGCGGGTTCTCTCTTTCTGAGCATGTCGCGCGAGACGCTCGAAACTCGGCTGAGCGAAGCGCCAGGCGATGTGCCGCGCGATCACCCGGACGCGGTTTGCCAGTGCATGTGGTCGGACGGGACGAGGGCGCTTCGGCATCCCCAGGGTGCGCCGTGCGAGGACTTTCTGGGTTGTGTTCACCTTTCTGTCGTCGCCGAGAGTGCCCTGCGGTCGTGCAAGGGCGAGCGCTGCGTGCGGGCGCGCCGGGCTCGCATGGCAAAGCTCCGCGAGGTCGCGACGTGGCTCACGGGTCAAGAGCGGGTCGCACAGCCCAAATCGCGGAAAGTCCCCCCGCGCCCCGCTCCATGTCCAGCGCATCGTCTGGCGTCGCCGCGAGACAGCGTCGCAGGTCACCGTGCCGCTTGTGGCCGCGCTACGTGTGCGGAAGAAGGCGCGTGTGCGTCCGGCGTCGGCTCGGCGCGGGTCGTGCGCGGCTGTTCGCCAGGCCACCGAACCAGAAATCGCTGGGGCGAATTGCCCGGGAAGGGCAACCGCGCGGCCCGGGCCAGCTCCTCGTCTGTTGGCCCATCCAGCTCCGACTCATCGTCGTCGAACACTCGGGCCGACTCGGGGCATGAGACCCTGCCCGTCTCGTGCGGCGCGACTTTCGCTTGAGATTTCCTCACAATTTATTCAGACGCCGCTCATCGACACTGCGGAATCGCGCTCTCAATTTCGACCTCCTCGTGATTACGTGGGGGTCGCGGTCCCGCTAAATATCTTTTAACGATCCAAGCAAGATTCACGCTTCAACGACCCGCCCGCTCGACCCGCCCGTCGGGGCCTGCCCGCCCGACCAGCCGGTTAGGGACTGCAATAATCGCCGTTTGCTGCCCTTCGCCCGCCTTTTATACCCCTCGTTGCTCGTGCTGGTTCCGCGGTCGCCTTCGCTCGCGCCCTTCGTGTCCCCGTTGCTGCCATCAGTGGCCCCGTCGTTACAATGTTTGGCCTCAAATTATATGCCCTTCGTGGCCTCCGCTCGCGCGCGCCCATCGTGGCCCCATATGCATGCCCTTCGTGGCCCCACTGTCGCCCTTCGTGGCCCCCTCGCTGCCCTTCGTAGCCCCTTTGCTGCTTTCATTGGCCCCGCTGTCGCCCTTCCTGGCACCATAGATGTATGCCCGTCGTGGCCCCCGCTCGCTCGCGCCGCGCCCGCGACACTCAGGAATCACAGTGTCGTTGTGGATTTCTTAACGATTTACGTGGAAATGGCGCTGTCGCTCGAGATTTCCTTGCGATTCATGCAAAACGCACGCATCCGCAACCCGCCTGCTCGACTTGGCCGCCCGGGCCCGCCTTCCCAACAAGCCTGTCGGGGTCTACCCACCCGATCTGCCCGTCTGGTTCTGCCACGTGTTTTCTGCAACTCGCCCCCCTCCTGCTACTCTCTCTCGTACTCCATCCTCCTCCCTCCCCGTTGCCACGTCCTTCCATCCGTCCTCTCAACCCTTGCCTTGAGGGCTTCACGAAATATACGCTTCAGGTGTGAAAAGCTACCACCCCAAGGCGGTACGATCTAAAACGAAAGACGGCGGGTATCGAGGGTTTGGAGTATACGTGTTGAATTGCACGCGAGCAGATACGAGCGAACTATCTTCAAAATATCGTTGCTGTTGTGGTTAAGCTCACAATACTGAACACATGTACTGTTGATCCCCCTCCGGTGACCATTTTGTGTTTTTCAATTGAAGTGCTTCCCCCTGCGTTCGCACTGTTTCTTATCTGGGAATGTCACGGGGTTCAAGCTGTGCGCCTGGCTCCCGGGTTACAGCAACAACGGCTCCCGTCTAAGACTTCCGCACAATTTAGCCGGACCCCCGCTCTCGCCTGAGGCTTCCTCGCCTGGTACTCAGGAGTCGCGCTCTCGCTTGGGACTTCTTTACTCTTTATGCAGGATTTGCGCTCTCGGCGGTCTGGAACCACGCTCTCTCTGGAGATTCGCTGGCAATTTACTCAGGAGTCGCTCTCTTGCGTTGGAAGTCCCCACAATTTCCTCAAGCGCCGCGCTCCCGACACTCAAGCACCCAGGAATCGCGCTCACGCTCCAGACTCTCTAAGAGCTTTATTAGGAATCGGAATCTCGCTGCCCTTCGTGGCCCCCTCGCTGCCCTTCGTGGCCCCGTTGCACCCCTTCGTGGCCTCCTCGCTGTCCGTCGTGGCCCAGTTGCAGCCCTTCGTGGCCCCCATTCGGTGCCCTTCGTGGCCTCTTTGCAACCCTTCGTGGCCCCCTCGCTGCCCTTCATGGCCCCGCCGCAGCCCTTCGCGGCGCCCTCGCTGCCCTTCGTGGCTGCGGTGCAGCCCTTCGTGGCCCCGTTGTTGCCTTTCGTGGCCCCGTTGCAGCCCTTCACGGCCCCCTCGTTGCCCTTCGTGGACCCGCTGCAGACCTTCGTGGCCCCCTCGCTGCCCTTCGAGGCCCCGCTGCAACCCTTCGTGGCTCCGTCGCTGCCCGTCGTGGCCCCGTTCGTTGCAGCCCTTCGTGGCCCCGTCGCTGCCCTTCGTGTCCCAACAACGCATGCCCTTGGTAACCCCCGCTCGTTCGCGCCAGTCGCGGCCCCATATGCATGCGCTTCATGGCCCCATTGCTGCTCTCAGTGGCCCCGTCCTTGCCCTCTGCGGCCCAATATGCGCATGCCCTTCGTGGCCCCCGCTCTTTCGCGCCCGTCGTGCCCTTCGTGGCCCCGCCGTCGCCCTTTGTGGCTCCTTCGCTGCCCTACGTGGCCCCGTGGCTACCCTTAGTGGCCCCGTCGTTGCCCTCTGTGGCCCCGCATGATCTGCTCCTCGTGGCCCCCGGTCTTTCGCGCCCTTCGTGACGCATGCCTTTCGCGGCACCGCTGTCGCCCTTCGCGGCCCCCTTCCTGCACTTCGTGGCCCCGCTGTCGCTCTCGCTCTCGCTCTCGCTCTCGCTTTCGCTCGTCGTCGTCGTCGTCGTCGTCGTCGCCGTCGCCGTCGTCGTCGTCGGCGTCGGCGTCGTCGTCGTGGTCGGTCCCCGGTCCGTCCCTCTTGGGGTCGGGTTGCCGCCGATCAGCGCTGCCAGTGGCCAGGCCGACGGTCCGCGGCCGCCCCGCCTCTTGCTGGGGCCCGGCCTGCAGGGAAGAAAAATGTCCCCCCAAAAGGGGTACGATCGAAGACGAAGGCAGGTATCCAGGGTTCGGGAAGGACACATTGAATGACACTCGAGCAGATATGAACGGTCAGTTTTAAACTGATTGTTATTGTTGTAGTTGTGATTGTTGCTGCTGTTGAATTCTCACTTCTGGATAATAATCATCGCTGGTTTTCGGAAGCGGTCCGCACGCTCACGCCTCGACGCCAGCTACATTTTCCTAAAACCGAAGCTCCTGCGCGAGCGTTGGATTGAATGTGCACGTGGGCGCTTGGAGGCCCGGCTACGACGACAACGGTTCCCGCTCGATACTTCCTCACAATTTACCCCGAAACACCCTGACCTGAGAGGCCCTCGAATTCAGGAACAGCGCTCTCGTTCGATACTTCCCCAAAATGTATTCGCAAAGGCCCTTGCCAGAGAGGCCCCCGAAGTCAACAGTGGCGCTCTCGCTCGAGACGTTCTCGTAATTCACGCAGGTTGGTGGAGGCCCAGTCACGGCGACAAGGGCTCCCATCCGATATTTCTCCATCTGTATTCCGAGCGCCCCTGTCCAGAGAGGCCCCTGAAATCAGGAACGGCGCTCTCCCTCGAGAGGTCCTCGCAATTCAATTTAAAGTTGGCGGAGGCCCAGCCACGACGACGAGGGTTCCTGCTCGATACCTCCTCACGATTTACTCCGAGGGCCCCTGGCCAAAGAGGCTCCCGAACTCAGGAACGGCGCTCTCGCTCTAGTTTTTCTCGTGATGCACTCGAGTTGGTGGAGGCCCAAGTGCGACGACAAGGGCTCTTGTTCGATACTTCCTCATAACTTATTAGCAAAGGCTCTTGCCAGAGAGGCCCCCGAAGTCAACAGTGGCGCTCTCGCTCGGGACTTTCTCGTAATTCACGCAAGTTGGTGGAGGACCAGACACGGCGACTAAGGGCTCCGATCCGGTAGTTTTCCATCTGTATTCCGAGTGCCCCTGTCCAGAGAGGACCCCGAAGTCAGGAAAGGCGCTGTCGCTCGAGATTTCCTCGCACATCACTGGCCAGCAAGGAAGAGACTCGCTCCGAAAAGGGGTGCAATCAAAGACGAAGTGGGCGGGTATCGACGGTTGGGGTATACAGAATGCAGCGCACGCGTGCCAGTAAGAGCGGACATTCTTAAAATGATTGTGGTTGATTTATCACTAAAGAGGATATTTTTTGATCCCCCACCTATGGTGGCCTTTTTTTTTTTTTTGATTTTCAAGTGAAGTGCTCCCCCCCAATTTCGCACACTGTTTTTTTAGATCGGGGGAGATCACGGGTTCAAGCTGGGTTGTCGGCCCCCCGGTTACAACAACAACGGCTCCCGCCTGAGATTTCCTCACAAATTAACCTGGGCCCCCGCTCCCGCCTGAGATGTCCTCGCGTTTTGCCCAGGAGTCGCGCTCTCGCTTGGGACTTCCTTACTATGTATGCAGGAATCGGTCTCCCAGCGCTCTGGAATCGCGCTTTCGCTGAGGACTTGCGGGCCATTTACTCAAGCATCGCGCTCTTTCGTTGGAATCCCAACAATTGTTTCAAGCGCCGCGCTCTCAACACTCAGGCACCCAGGAGTCGCGCTCACACATGACTCTCTCAGAGCTTACGAAGGGATCGGGATATCGCTGCCCATCGCTGCCCCGTTGCAGCCCTTCGTGGCCCCCTCGCTGCCCTTTCGCGGCCCCGTTGCAGCCCTTCGTGGCCCCCTCGCTGCCATGCGTGGTCCCGTTGCTGCCTTTCGTGGCCGCGTTGCAGCCCTTCGCGGCCCTTCGCTGCCCTTCGCGGCCTCGTTGCAGCCAATCGTGGCCCCCTGCGGGCAGAGCCCACTGGATTTCGGGTCTATCTCCTTCGCCGCTCGGACACACTGTCTTGAATGCGTGGCCATGCCATCTCACGGGCGCACTCGGATTTCCCCACTCGCTGCCCTTCGTGGCCCCGTTGCAGCCCTTCGTGGCCCCCTCACTGCCTTTCGTGGCTCCGTTCACCGCACCCCTTCGTGGCCCCGTTGCAGCCCTTCGTGGCCCCATAAATGTATGCCCCCCGTGGCCCCCACTCGTTCGCGCCCGTCGTGGCCGTGGCTCCGTCACTGCCCTCATCGGCTCCGTCTTTGCCCTACGCGGTCCACTATGCGCATGCCGTTCGTGGTCCCCGCTCGTTGCAGCCCATCGTGGCCCCATGCGCGCGCCCTTCGTGGCCCCGCCGTCGCCCTTTGTGGTGACCCCACTGCTGTCCTACATGGCCCCGCTGCTACCCTCAGTGGCCCCGTCGTTGCCCTCTCTGGCCCCGCATGATCTGCTCTTCGCGGCCCCCGTTCTTTCGCGCTCTTCGTGGCCCCATACGCATGCCCTTCGTGGCCCCGTTGTCGCCCTTCGTGGTCCCCTTCCTGCCCTTCGTGGCCCCGCTGTCGATCTCGCTCTCGCTCTCGCTATCGCTCGTCGTCGTCGTCGTCGTCGTCGCCGTTGCCGTCGTCGTCCTCGTCGTCGTCGTCGTCGGTCCCCTGTCCGTCCCTCTTGGGGCCGGGCTGCCGCCGATCAGCGCTGTCGCTGGCCAAGCCGACGGTCCGCGGCCGCCCCGCCGCTTGCTGGGGCCCGGCCTGCAGGGAAGAAAGATGTCCCTAAAAAAGGGGTACGATCGAAGACGAAGAGGGCGAGTATCAAGGGTTTGGGAAATACACGTTGTATGACACTCGAGCAGATAAGAGCGAACAATTTTTACATGATTGTTGTTGTTGCTGTGGTTATCGTCGTCCTCGCCCGCGGCCCGCCCGCGACCCACCCCGTGACCCACCCGCGACCTACCCAGGATCCACCCACATTGCTTTGACGAACCTTCGGCGCCGGCGGCGGGATCGTGGCGCAGTATGTTAAAAAGTCGGCGACATCGGCGCGCTGCTTCCAAGCCTAGCAGACTGCCAACGACACCGCCGCCTCCTCACTCCTATCCGCAACTGCAGTGTGCTACCCTTCCAGTCGTCGTCCTGCTCCTGTTTTTGCTTGTGGGCAGCAGCGATAGCAACGCGATGGGTTCTAGACGCGAGCGGGCACGCTGAACACGAACCCCAGCCTGGCAACTTGCTCTGCGACACCCAGACATCCGACGCCATGTCTTTTCCCCTGGAACCGAATCGTGCTACTGGGCGGGGTGTGGTATCAAGCCCCTATCGGCGACCAGTGGGCGAGTGGGGGTCGACGCATACCCCCTTCAACCTGACTGTCCACCCTGACGTCGCCTCCTCGTGTTCGGGAGTAAACACATCGGCTCTCCGGCGGCCGCCTGGGACCAAACGAGCACCCCCAGACGCCTCTCCTGGAACACATCCCGAGGCCGGGAAAACTGTCGAAAACCGACGCCAACGCCGGAACACCTCGAATCTCGAACAAGCAGCCCCTCCCCCTAACAGTACTCTTCAAGCGTCCCTTTGCAGGCGCACCCCCTCCGTTGAGTTTATCCCCCTATCCCCGCTGTGCAGCGCTGCTGTTCAGGTGCCCCCCCTCAAGGCACGCGGCGCCGGCGGGGGGGGGGGGGGGCACATGAGGCTCCTCTGGCGCGCAACCAGCGTCAGCACGAGGAGCACGGCCTGGCCGTCGGCTCGGAGTGGGGGGTGGAGGGGAGGAGGCGGGAGGGAGGGAGGAGGCAGGAGTGAGGAAGGAGGGGGGGAGGAGGAAGGGAGGGAGTGAGGAAGGGGGAGGATAAGGAGGGAGGGGGCGTGGGTTGAGGAGGGGTGAAGGGGGAGGGAGGAAGGGGGAGGGAAGGAGTGCAGTGGAGTGGAAGCCCGGCCCGCGCGGCGACCGCGCGGGGCACTCAGAGCACGATAAACAGCAAGAAGACAACGAAATTCACTACAGTGGCAAGGCAACTGAAGCAGAGGATCGTGACAATGATGCCCGCACACCCATCGGCTTGCCCACACGGTTGCTGCTGAGTGCGGGGGAGTGTGGGGGCGCGTTCCCCCGTCATCCTCAACTTTTCTCTTTTTCACCCCTCAACCTTCTCTTTTCCCCCGTCCTCCTCAACCTTTCTCGCTTTCCTCTTTTTCTCGCTTTTCCCCTCGGCTTGCCCGCGGCCGCCCCGAAGGCCCCATGCCTACCGGCAGCGGGCCGCGGGCAAACCAAGAAACAAACAAACTTCAAGACAACCAAGAATACACACACGGAACAATAACAAATACACACCACCACCTACCAACTTATAAGAAAACCACTGAATCTGCAGCTTGCGTGGGAAGGCCGCAAGCATGATTTCCAGATAATGTTGGATGTCGCAGGGGCCGTATTGAGGCTATCCTCAGCAATCGTGGGGCTGTCATGTGCCCTGTCCATCGGGCTGCACGCTTCCATTCGAAGTAGGTGAAGGATGAAGAAGGGTGTGGCGAAGAGGATGCGAGGATCATGATTTGATGAGCGGGTGTTTGTCTGTGTGCGCGCGTGTTTGTATCTATGCATGTACGTACGCAATATGTACGTAATATATGTCTGCTGTGTGTTACATATGTATGTGTATGTGCCCGATGTGTGTGTATGTATGTGTACATACAAGTATTTATGTAGATGTGAACACACACACATACATCTACATATATACATATATATACACATATATATATATATATATATACATTTGTGTGCGTGCGTGTGCGCGTGGGGGATGCGGGCTGGGGATTGCATTCAAACGCTGCGCGCCTTGGGTTGCACGCTGAAGCGGCGGCAGCTACACGCTGCGTGCGACCAGGAACCAACTACATGCTGGATCGTGTAGCTACGCCCTGAAGCATGGGTAGCCACTGGCCGATGCACTCCGCCGCCTCGCAGAGGTCCGCGAGCCGCTCCAGAGACTCGGAGCGGAGCAGGCGGCGTTCGGCCGCCGTCCAGCCCTCGAGGCCGGGCGCTCTGCGCCTCGCCATCGCCGTGAAAAGCGAACAGGCCCGTCAGGCCGCCCGCGGCGCTCCTCGGCGGTGGACAAACACCTCCCTTTAGGAAGCCACCCTTTGGTGAAAACGGCCCAGCCGCGCAACGACGCAAACTACGACTGCGATGGCGACTACAATTGCGACTACGGTTGCGACTTCAGTCGGAACTGCACTCGCGATTACAATCGCGATTACAACCAAGACTGCAATCACGACTACACCCACAATCGCTGATTCATATTGCACTCCTCGTGATAAGATGCCGACAAATCCTCTCGCGCGCAGGGTAATCCAACATGGATTCTTCCCTGTGAGGTGGAACCCCCAACATGATCCTGCCCGCCCAGCGACAGGCGGAACATAATTCCCGCCGCGACGACGACGGCGACGGGAATGGGAACGGGTCATGGGCAAGAAGTCCGCCTGCTGCCGCGGCGGCAAAGAGGGCCTAGTCGCCCTCCATCGGCCAACGCCCTTCGGCCTCGGCATCCCGCTTGGCCCGCCCGCGCGCCCGAGCCCAATCGACCGCCGAATCGGGCGAAACAAAGCCGTGCAGGCAGACCTGGGCCAGGTGCAAGACGGGGGCGGTCACCCCGTACTGGCGGAAGCTGACGTGGCCTCTGGACCCAACGGAGGGCTGGGGGCCCGCGCGCGAGTCCCAGCGAAGGCCCAGCCACGAACGAGGGTCCGACGCCGCCCCCAGACGGCGCGGCACTAGGCCCCATCAGCTTCCCGCTCAGCCACGCTACATCCTCTCCCGAGGCCTCGAAACGAAGAGTGCCTGGGAGGAGGGCGAAGGGGCCGAGGGGTGAAGGACCCTGCGGAGGCGGGACCTCTGGGCCTTTAACCGTTGGGCCCCAGGAGGCTCCAGCAAGGCCCTTGCCAGGGGGGGGCCCTTTGGCCAACCGGCGACCCGCGGGCTTTGCGGACGCACAGGCGTAGCTGCATCGGGCCCCTCGCAATTGCACCGGACCGCCGAGCGCCCTCGAAACAACTGCGGCCACCCAAGATAAATCCAAAACTGACACGCCCCACATCAGTCGGCACGGGCTCGGGCACTGGCGGGAGAGGGGCGCGGTTGTCTGCTTCCAACTGGGATCGTCTCGGGCTTGGAACGCTGCCTTCAGGTTTTCCGCTTCAGGGTCAGCCGTGCCACATGCAAGGTGCAGGGGAATGTCTGGGGTGCCCGCGGTACATTTAGTATCCCACGCTTCGCTATCACCAATCCAAGCGTGCATGAGACCTATCCACTGCAAGAGCACGTTGGCCGTATTCTCTCACGCTTCAACAGACATCACCACCCTTGGCGGTGCCCCCTCAGGGCAGGGCCCCTTGTTTCAAAGCCCAGCGGTCCGCAAGACTACTGCGGCACCCCGCCAACTGTCGAAACAAAAAGCATCACTCGGGGCCGTCGCTTGGCCTTGCATTTTTTTGACAGTCGCGCTATCATCGTGATTTTACCGACACTATTCACAGGAGTGCCCCCCTGAGTTCATCAAGCTGAGGGCAATAGAGGCATCGCGCGCGCGAGATGGCGCCAGCGCGATCAGAGGAACAATCAAATGGACGGGTCGCCAGCGGCAGGCTCCACCGAATATCTGGCGAGCACATGGGACGACGCGTCGTCCTCGGCATCCCTGGCCGACTGTGAGGCGAGATGCACAACTCCGTGCATCCCGCATCTGAACGATCTCTCGCCATTGACGGCGGCGACTGCCCGTCCAGCGCGGCGTCGGCCTCTGTGCTGGATAACAAACAAACGAATGGCCGCTATCGAACACGTCACCCTCGCACATCCATCCACGCGCGCGCCCCGCTTGATCGGCCCTGGGGATGTCTACGCACTGGAAAGCGCGCGCAGGTGAGGGTAACAAACCTCGCGCAAACAGATCGGCACTCGGCCCTCTTTCGCGCACAGTGGCTCCCGCGATCCTGAGAAGCTCGGGCGGGCAGAACTCGCGGCGGAAGAATTCCGAGCCGGGGCAGTCGAAGCACCGGTGGCAGAAAGCGCCTCTCGCGCCGCATCGAGCGCAACTAGAGCAAGCGCCTTGCCTTTAGCGCGCGGGCGGCTGGGGCCCCAGTGGGCCCCGTAGTTCTCAGAGGCGCAAAGCATGATTGCGCCTCTGGGCCCACGGCTCTAAGGTCTTAGCAAGCTCAGCCACTGCGGGCCCAGCGGGCCTCAGAGGCCCACGGGCTCCCCGACCTCCGCAGAGCGGCGGCGTCGGAGGCTGCGCGGGCAAAGGCGCGGACAGCCTGGCAAGCTGCTCCAGCAAGGGGCCGATCTCGCGCTGGCGATGATCCAGCAACAGACTGTGCTTGGCGAGCTGCCGCCCAGCGCAAGCCAGGCTCAGGACTGCAACCTGGGCAAGATCAGCACGCTGTGTCCAAAGCCTCGCTGCGTCGAGCAACAGCAGCGCCTCCGCGTGGACGGTGGAGATCACACCCGCCTGCGAGACACCATCGCGCGCTCCGACGGCCCAGGCCCCGGTGACCTCCGCCGCGCGCCGCGCCGGGGCCGCTGCACATCGCGCGCGGCCCCCGAAGGGAGGCAATGCGCTCTGAAGCTGCCCAGCTTGCAGCCCGCAGTCCCCGCGACCGAAGGAGACGCGCACTGCCGCGGCACGAGGCGAGCCTCGGCGCAGGTGGGGCGTCCTGGCCCCCGTAGGCTGCGGCAACTCCACTCTGGCCGCCGCCCTGCTGGCCGCGGCCAGCCCGTTCTGTTCTGGCACCGCCTCCTGCTGCCGTCGTTGCCGCCGCCTGCTAGGCGCCTCAGGCCAGCGTGCCCGGCCACGCCGAGCTCGGCCCAGTGCTCGCGCTGCGCCTGCGCCGGCCCCGAACCCGAAGCCGCCCAGCACGTCTTGCCCCTGTTGATCATGAGGCGGCTGCGCTGCGCGCCCTCGAAGAGGTCGCGGGCGGCCCAAGGCAGGTGGCCGCCCGCCAAAGGCGACGCTCCCGCGGCGGAGGCAGTCGTCAACAAGGCTCCGCGCGCGCGAGCGGGCACCTGAGGGCGACGCCGCGCTGCAGCGTGCACGTCGGTCGCTTGCCAGCGCTCGCGGCGCGCGAGCAGCCCGCCGCCGCGGCCTCATCGGCCTCGACGCCGGGCCTGGCCCCCCTGCCTAGCATGGCCCATCTGGGGAGGCGCGCCCGCCCCGCGCTGGCGCGGCGCCCGCAGCTGGCGCGGGCCGCCCGTCGCGCCTGCCCGCTGGCGAGGCCGGCGCGGCGGCAACGTTGGCGAGAATGGTGGCCGTCGCCGGCGGCGACGCAGCCGCGCCGACGCCTCGCCGCGGCCATCCGCGCCAATGGGCCGTCGCGTAGCTCCACGGGGAGGCGGAGGAAAGGGGCGAGGGAGGGCAGGGGCGAAGGGGCCCACCCACCTATCTCCTTCTGCCCTCACCCTCTATCGAGCTGGCTGCGCTCGGGCGCCAGGAGCGCCCCGCTCGCGACTCCGCCAGCGCTTCCGCGCGACCCAGCTGCCCAGAGGCGTGGAGCAGGCTCGCGGGCGGCCCAGTGATTGCCTGAGCGTGACCTGCCGCCTGGCCTCCGCCGAGTGGTGGGCGCCTGCCACCTCGCGCCGCGATCTGGGCGCGGCGCGGCCCTCCGCGGCGCCGCCATCGCCACCTCCTGGCGGCATGCCGCTGAGAGCTGCGGCAGCCCCAGCCGCGGCCACATCGCCCGGGCCCCCAAACGCCGCAGCGTCGACGTCAGCTGCAAGCAGGGCGCCGGGGACTGCAGAAACCCGAGCGCTGGCGGCGCCCGCAGCGGTGGGGGGCAGCGGCATGCACAGAAACGGCGGTGACGTTCCACGGCCGCCGCCGCACCTGCGGCAAGGGCTTCCGCAACGGCCCCACACGCCGCAGCGGCGACCGGCGCGCGCAAATGCTCGAAGAACGCCGCGCCGCCGCCGCCGCCGTTGCCGCCTACAGAACCACTTCCGGGTATATGCAACACCGATGTGGAGGGCGTCGAAGGTCGCGGCGACCCCAGCCTCGGTAAGCTCCGCCGGGCCTGAGCAGCCAGCTCCACCGCGCGGATCTGCTAGTCGTACTCCACCACGTCCGCCTCCGCCGCGCACCGCTGACTAACCGTGCGGAGCTCGCGCCAATAGCGGAGCTCTCGTTGCGCCAGGCTTGGTTCGGTGGCAGGGGCGTCTGGCGAGGTGCCAGCCGCCGCAGGGGGTGCATCGCCTCATTGCCAGGCGGCGCCGCCGGCATTGGGGGCGAGGAAAGCAGACGCAGCACTGACCGCGCAGGACCCCCCCGCCAGGCGCTTGGGCACCACCAGCGCCCCGTTGGCGGCGCTGCACAAACGAATCCGGCGCGGGCTGTCGCGCCTGACGCTGCTTGGCTGCCGCCCGGGCGGCATCGGCGATCCGTTGCGGCGCAGGCTTGCCACAGCCGTAGCAGCGCAAGCGGCAAGCACATGTGCCCTCGTGCCCGCATGGATATCCTCAGCAGGGCTCCCGTAGCCCTGGGAACACCGCTGGATCTGCACTGATAGCAACCTGCGAGCGCCCGCCGTCACGGTCGCCCTGCATCCGGCTCCCGCCGCGCGCGCGGATTCTACGCGCGAGCTCGGGCGCCCCAGCCGGATGGTTACACCGGCCCAGCTGGCTTGACAAATGTTGTACCTGAACCAAACGGCTTGACGCCCGTGCGCCAGGGAATGGGCCCGCCATTCGAGCTCCAAAACCAGCTGCGCGGAATCTTCGTAGCCCCCTTTTCCGAGATGCTCCCCTTCTGGTAAGACGAGCCAGGACCAGGACAACATCGGCCCTCTGAGACTCTAGTCTGGCGGTTATAAAAGACATATCTAACGCCGCGCCCGTTCCAGAGCATTCCAGGTAGCTCTGAGAGCGTTCTGGAGCGGTCCAAGCCCCGTCCGATTTAGACCTCCCGAAAGGAGGCGGGCGACAATTCAGTCTGTGGCCAGGGCTTTTCCTGATTGGATGGGTGTTCTCAGGAGTGTAGCTCGAGTGGCGCCCGTGCCCGCTCGTGGGGCGCCCCTGGCGCCGGGTGGGTCTCCCCGAGGATGCCCCTCCCCGGAGCCCGTGCCCGCTCGGGGGCGCCCCTCTCGCGCCGGGTGGGCTCCCCGAAGATTTCGCCCCGTTGGCGCCCGTGCCCAGCCACGCGCACCCGGTGCGCCTACGCCAAACAGCTAGCACAGCTCGGCTTGCACCACATAAGCGTGCCACGCACGGCTCGCTCCACATAGCTTGCACCATACAGCTTTCAAGGATTAGCTGACACCGCGGATGCACACGGCGTAACTCACGTAGTACTAACATCGCTTGCACGACAACACTCTCATCACAGAATAACAGCTTACACCACATAACTTACACCACATAGCTTGCACAATCTATTCCACACCAGAAAGCTCAAATCCACAACGCGGGGCAGGACGCCAGAACTCTTGAACCTGACATGTTCGCGCGGATTTCGCCCGAGAAATCGGCCCAAGACCTGTCCTGGGGTGCGTTTGCCTTCGAAGACAATCCAGCAGTGGCGACGAGAAGGCTCCCGCAACTCGTACAGGGCGATGTGCAATCCAACAATCTCAATGCTCCTCTCCCTCCTCGCTCTGTGTCGTGGACCCTGGGGACCCTGGACGCGGCCTCCCGTGAGGCCCAGACTCGAGAAGTAACTGGCCACGCCTGAGGTGCGGTTAGCCCGAAGACCCTCCGCGCACACGAGGGGAGGAGATGAGGAGCATGGAGGAGGAGGAGGAGGAGGAGGAGGAGGAGGAGGAGGAGGAGGGGGAGGAGGAGGAGGTTGTAGAGGAGGATGAGGACGGAGAGGATATTATTTGTGAGCAACAAGAAGGAGGTGGACCAGCGTAAACCCAAGATGTATCTACGATGCTGCATTACACGAAGCCCCCCCCCCCATTGGTCCATACACGCATTTATTTATTGACTGCGCGAAACGCACTCCCTTGAAAGACGAACGATTCGATTCATTAGCTTGCAATTCAGGCGGGAACTCCGCTTTGGCAGAAACCATGACCCATCATCCGAGCTATAGGGAATGCAAATCAGTGGGGATACCGAATCAAGAATGTACAAGGAAAGGGTGAAAACATTGATGAACTCTCAAACGAACATCAAACTTTGACAAGGAGCCACCCTTCATCCGTGTAACTCTTGTTGGGATGTTTTAAGACGAGCGTGTATGGCACCTAAACGGGGGACCCCTTTTGAAAACGATTAGCCGTTCATCCGTTCAGCAACTGCAATGTTGTAGAACTATTTTTCGCGGCACCGGTGCGAAGGCATCATATCGAAGGCGACCAACTGTCCATCTGTCTGACTGCGGAATTTTGTTAAGACGAGCGTGGGTGATATTGCAGAACGAACCTCATTTTGAACACAGACCACCCTCCATCCGTGTAATTATTTGGCTTCGGTTCAGTCGAGTGTGCGCAGCGCCAGGACGAATCCAAATTTGAGAACGACCTGCCCGACATCCGCGTGAATGCTAGGACATTCAAACTTCAACATCGTATCGGGTGGGAATCACTGAGGCAAGACGCCTGGCCCGCACTGGCGACGCGTTTGGTGGTGCGTAAAGGAATAACTACTCATGAAGAAATGGGATGCAAAAGGAGGAGGCCGGGGACGCGGAGGATTAGGAGGGAGATGATGAAGACAAGGCCAAGGGGAGGATGATCAGGAATGCCGTTTTGAGGAGAGATGAGGGGGAAACACAGGAGGGAGGGGGGGCAAGGAGGGGGGGCAAGGAGGGGGGAGGTAGGAAGGGAGGGAGCGAGGGAGGAAGGGGAGGGGAGGGGAGGGAGGAGGAGGAGGAGCAGGAGGAGGGACGAGGAATACAAAGAGGATGAGGAGGAATACCAGGAGGAGGAGGATAAGGAAACGCAAGCCGAACGAACTCTGACGAGGAAGCGAGGGAGCCGTGGATGAAAGAGGGAAAGTGCGAGTACCCCCAGCGGACGCGGGAAAAAGGGCGGGAAATACGAGGAGGGAAGAGGACACAAAGGGCGGGGCGGCCCTCCGGGAGATGCGGGCGGCCCCCCAGGAGATGCCAGAGCCCCGCGCACGAGACAGGCGCGCGCGCGCCAGCGCGAAGACGAGCTGGAAGAGGCGCCAGAACGCCCACAGGACCTGCGCCACGGCGGGGCTTCTCCCTCTCCGCTGCTTGGGATTCGGATACCACCACACACAGACAACAAACTATAGCAAGGGCGACCCCCAGCGTGGGGTCAGGGAGATAATCGAATGAGGATGACAAATAACCCTCATGCCCGCAAGACCCGGTGCTGACTGGAACGCCAGGACTCGACTCCACCGCTCGCTCTGCTGCATGTGACCCGGCTGGACAGCTGGGAGGGAGCGGGCCCGCCCACGCGGCCACTGCAGCTTGCGCCGCAGCAGAGGGCCTGGCTGCTGTCTGTTTGGAAGTCCTGCCGGGTTCGAGGCGACTTTGGGGGTGGGCGCCGCTGGTGTGTCTGCCGCACTGGCGGCGCTGAGGTGGAACGATGAGGGGGACTGGCACGGGGGTGGGAGCATCGAACAAGAATCGGCGATGGCGATGCATCGCCGATATATCCGCGGCATGCACCCAGTGGGGAATCCGAACGCTCCTGGGTGGGGTGGGCCATCAGGCCGCCGTCGGCCATGAACGGGCGATTAGGGGCCGATCCGTTCCCCCATGAGCCTATCCCCACACCTACCTGTAAGTCGGGCATGTCCCCCTACAGGGGGATTTTGGATGATAAGAAAGTAACTAGTACCCCAACAATTCTCCCAAATGGCAAGAAATAATCACAGAATCGTCCCCAGACTATTTTTTGACTGTTTCTGAAGATTCCTCGTGTAAGGGGACAGGCCCGGCTTGACCCTACCATGCCCCGACAATCGCCACCCACGCCGAGAACCGTCGAGCCACGGGGCGGGGCGGGATGGGGGCGAGGAGAGAGCAGCGAGGAGCGCAGCGAGCGAGGCGGCACGCGCGGCCCAATCAACTTCTCAGCTCGGGTGTTGCTAGAAATGCCCCTGGCCCAACAGACGAGCGCGTTCCGCTTCTCGCAAAGTAACTACTCGCAAAAGGCCTGGATCCGCCGCAGGGGATCTACGATAAATCTCATCGAAGCGAACATATGTTTTTCTTACGTTTGCGAGTAGGCACTATGCGGGTAGTGGAACGTGCTCGGTGACCCAAGGTGCCCCCAGCTTTTCGACCCCTTTGGGAGCCCCTGGGGCCCTCTGGGCCTCGTGATGGGTGCTCTGGAGGCCGTTTGGGCTTCCCCGAGAATCCTGGGGGCACCTTGGCTCAGGGGCACTTCTGGCAACACCCGGTCAGCGGTGTCGAGATCTCTGGTGCCGGTCAGGCACAAGGAATGCCTGTTCTGACAGCCCCAAAGAATCCTTCAGGGGGTCTCGGGTCTCTGGGAATTCTGGCCGGTGCCCCATGCATCTCATGGGTTGGAGGTCACAGGCTGAGCGTGGCCAGCTGTTTTCATGTAAACCTGAGTATGCGCCCCCTCTCGCGGCCATTTGTTCAGCTTCATTTGCCCTCCTATTCCCTTCACTTTTCCACAGGATCCCCCGCTGGCAGAGTTACCCCTTGAGGTGAGGATATATCATCTCGGGTCGAGGGTTCACAAGCTCCGCCCCCTCTCCAGAGATGGGATGGGCCCTCTGGTTCCACAGCCTCTCACAAGATGGAATGGGGGGAAGGGGGCGACGACGACGACGACGATGACGACGACGACGATGATGCGACGACGACGACGACGACGAAAACGATGGTGGCGGCGACGGCGACGGCGACGGCGACGACGACGACGCCGACGCCGATGCCGACGACAACGGAAAACGCGACACCGACGCCGACGCCGACGCCGACAGCGCCGACGACGCCGTCGACGCCGACGGAACACGACGTCGGCGACGACGACGACGCTGGCAACGACGACGGAGACGACGACGACGACAACGGACGACGGACGACGACGACGACAACGGCGACGACAACGACGACGGAGACGACGACGACGTCGACGATGACGACGGCAGCGGCGACGATGTCGACGGCGACGGCGACGGCGACGGCGACAACGACGGCGACAGCGACGGCGACGGCGCGGACGACGGCGCCGACGACGACGTGAACACCGACGGCAGACGCCGACGACGAAGACGGAGACACAGATGGAGACAGCGACGACGACGAGGACGAGGACGACGACGGCGACAGCGACGGCAACGACGACAACGACGTCCACCCTCCACCAAGCTACGCCCATGATGCCACGACCAAAAATGGATGGTGAACGATCCCATTCGCGAGGACCTGCGACCTTGGTCTCGGAGAACTTTCGGCGAAAGCAGCCTCCTCCACCACGCAGCGCCCACAAGGCCACGATTACAAGGAGAGGGAGGACTATCCCATTCGCGAAAGCTTCGCGAGGTTCACGGGCGCACCCTTCCAGCGGGGGGGGGAGTGATCCCGTATGCATTGGGGGGGAACTTTGGGTCATCCATCCTGCCCCCTTCGCTTTCGCGGGGCGTACCGACGTACCCCCACCTGGGGGGTTTGGTTGGTGGGGTTGCGATGCTGTTGGGCGAGCGACGACATATGTACATGTACGCCCTCCGCGGTCCTGCCTGCACGAACGTCCGCGTTGACACGCACTCCAGGGGAAGCTAACCGCGTACGTGTACATATATGTTGCTGGCCTCTGAACTATAGCCCCGTGGCGATGGCGATCGGCTCGGCAATGCCGAGCCCCGCCCTCCCCGACGCCCCCTCCCCCCCGCCCACGGAGTGGATGACACCCCGCACGCGCCTGTCGGGGGGAGGGGCGGGCACCAGCTCCAGCAGCGGCCACAGGAAGCCCTGGGGCTCGCCAGGCGCGACAGCAGACGACGGCGACGACGCCGACGTCGGCGGCGAAGCCGACGCCAACGCAGGAGCCGAAGGACCGACGAAGGCGCCGATAAGCGCTAGGCAAGGGTTGGCGCGCCCAGCCCCCGACGCCTCCTGCGCTCTCACCCTCCTGATCCTCCCTCGCTTCTCCTCTTTCCTCACCCTTCGTCTTCCCGTTCTTCTCATGCTTCTACTCCTCCTTCTCCGACCTCTCACTCTACTCCGCCCTCACACCTCCTCCCTTCCTCTTCTTCCCCACGGCTGCGACAGCCATCCCATGCCCCACTGTCCGGAGAGGGCAGCCCAATGCCGCGCCCCAGCCACGAAGTCACTCTTTCGGATTATCGGCCAGCCTTCCTCGCGCGCGCTGGGGCGCCTCTGTAGCTGATGGTGTACATCTGGTTCCAGGTTGTGCTAATGCTGGCTCTTGTCGCCCACGCCCGCTTAACGCACATATCGTACATTTTTCGGCGGACCAAACCTTTACCGGTCCATGGGGTTCATTTCGGCCAAGGTGACAATAGCCCTCGTGGCGCTTGCTTCAGAAAAAACGCACGCACCCGTGCCCCAGCGACCTGCCGCGTCCTCGGCGTGCACTCTGCACACCGCAACAGCGCCCGCTTGTCTCACGTGGTCCGAGAGAACTCGCAAGTCGATGTCGCAGGATCGGTTCCCGACGTAGATGAAGAAATTCCCTTCGCGCATCTAGGAGCCCCCATCCTCCTTGCCAACCCAGCCCTTGCGACGGCCGCCATTGCCAATGTAGCCACGCTTCGACACCCAAGGTTACCACTCGTTCTCGTGCTCCATGTCGCTAATCGTCCTCCTCGTCGCTCTCGTTGGTTTCCGTGTTGCATCTGCCCCTGGGCCCCGGAAGCGGCGCCCAGCTGGCCCTTGGGATCGTTAAAGCTTCCTGCTTGTCAGCTATTAAGAACCTGAGAAGGTCCTGGTGGACTGCCTTGGCCGCGTCCTCGCAGGCGCACAGAACATGTCAGTCGCGTCCTTCCGTCCTTGGCGCCGTCTGTAGCCAGCGGGTGACCTGTTCGGCGCTGTCGTTCTCGATCGCCTCTCGAAGGAGGTCCGTCGGCCAGTTTGCTCGCGCACGTTCTCGTGCACGTATGTAGCTGATGACGTCTTGTATCCGGCTCCTGCCGTCGCTGCCTGAGGGCGGCCACTGCCTGGACGGCGCCCGCGGATCCACCGTGGTCCCTCTTCGCAGAGGGATTGGGGGGTGGGCCTGGCTCTGGTTCTGCCTCCTCCAACCTGGTCCCCGCTTGGTGGCGGGGGTCGTGGGGCGGGCCTTGCTCGGCGTCGCCCCCCTCTCGCACGCACCAATCCGATCCTGTAGCTGATGGCGTCTGCGTCCCTCTTCCGAGCTTGTCCGAGTATGTAGCTGACTGGCGTCAAGCATTCCTCATCCTCAGCGGTGTTGGCAGTCACTCGGCCCTTTTCGCATACGCCGCCGCCGTCCTTTAGCTGACGATGTCGAAGTGCCCCTTCGAATGTTTCACGTATGCTTGATGTATCCGTAATCTGCCACGAATTCACGTGTGAATGGTACTGGTACGCTGTCCAGTCTGGAACCCGCCCAACGAATGCCTTCATTATATGTGGACAAGCATCGCGAAGTACAACGTCCTTTGGCAACGTGGGCGTCCTTAAGAACAACTCCTCGCCTACGGGGGAAACCCGCGTCGCAAGGCTGAACTCGTGGCCAATGCTGTCTCGGTAGTAACATATCCAATGTTGCTCCAGCAATCGACGTGTTTGTTTCTGGTTTCTCCTCTTCCTCCTCCACCGCCTCCTCCTTTGCTACGTAGCTGATGGCAGTGGGCACATGCGTCACGACACCTCCCTCGTAGCTGATGGCATCGGGCTCGTGTTTTTCTGCGCCACCCTTGTTTCTGATGGCGTCAGGCTCGCGCTTCGCGGCGCCACCCTCGCAGCTGACGGCGCCAGGCTCGTGGTTCGCATGACCTCCCTCGAAGGTGGCGGCGTCGGGCTCGTCATTTGCAACGCAACCCTCGTAGCTGATGGAGTCGGGTTTGTGTTTTGTTAAGCCACTGTCAAAGCTGATGGTCTCCAGCTCGTGCTTGTCATCGCCGCCCTCGTGGCTGACGGCGTCGGGCTCGTGCTGCGCGCCACCTCCATCGCAATTTCTGGTGTCGGGCGCGCACTTCGTGTTCCCGCCATTGGAAGTGCTGACGCCGAGCTCGCGGTTGGAAGCCGCCACTGCCTGTGCGCCGCTGCTGCCACTGCCCGCCTGAGCCGCCACTGCCCTCCCCTCTCGCACAGCCACCTCGCACGCACTGGCCCACGTGCATATATGATGGCGTCTGGTACCCAGCACTCTTACTGAACCCTCTTGCCGCTGCCAAATCTTCTCGAACACCTGTGCCTGTGCCGGCTCTTCTCGCATACTCTGGTCCACGGATGTAGCTGGTGGCGTCTGGTGTCACAACGCCGCACCGCCTGCTGCCCCTGCCGTGGCTTCTCGCGCGACCTGGCTCTTGAAAGCTTCTTCGTCCCAGTCTGGCATCCAACATACCCCACAAAACGAGTCCCTGTGCTACCAATGCTGCCACTGCTGTGATTCTTGATGAGCCCACCAACTCTCCCACTGACCTGGCTGTACTTGGAGCTCTTCGATCGAACTTATTTGATCCTGTATCTTGTGGTTCGCAGCGCACGTTGGGCCGCTTGTTGCCTGGCCCGTCGGTCGAGGTGCGCCTGGTGGGCCAAGGAACTGATATCCGCGCACCATGCCGAGACTGCTGTTGCACGATGGCTGTAAGCGCCCGCCGGGCCGCGGCACGGCTAGCGGGCTGAAGCCGTGCTACGAATTTACCGCAAACGGCCTTCTTCTTCCTCCTCCTCCTCCTCCTCCTACGCTTCCATATTCCTGTCCTTCCCTCTTCCTTCCGCCGTCCCTGGGCACGCCTGGCGGAGGTCGTCTGTGGCTTGTTGGGAGGGTGGAAAGGGCTGTGCCGCTCGGGCAGTTTCTCCCCGGGAGGTCTTCCGAATCGTTGTCTGCAGCTGCTCCGCCTGCTCTGGCCTTCGCGCGGGTCGAGGCGGCTGGGGCCGTCGCACCCGGGGAGGGCTCTGGGCAAGGCGTGGGTCTGGCTGGCCACCAGGCCAGCCGGTGACCCTGGACAGCACCCGTTTCGAGCTCCTTGCGCTTGGGCGGCTCCCCGTTCCCTCGTTTGCTCTTCTCGGCGGCGAGCGATGGGGGGGGGAAGTGAGAAAGAGGAGTCGGCGGTGGACAAACCTCCCTTTCGTAAACCTCCCCTTAATGAAAACAGCCTGAGACCGAAACCGACGTGCTTGGACCAGCAAAAATGACCCGCGACGCCCTCTCGCGAACCGAAAACGGCCAATTCCTCAATCGACGTGTCAGAGTAGGATGTCTGTCCACCTCCGAAGGAGGCCTCCTCAGAAGGCGGCGGGCCGTCTCCGAAGCCCTCTGGCCCTCAGCAAAGGCTTGCCTCGTCCTCGGGGAAGCCTCGGGGCACTTCCCTGAGGGCCCGGGGCCTCCCGAGCCCTCTGAGAGGGCCCGCCCCCCGTCGCTTCCCCCCTGGGCGCGCTGCCGATCTTCGCCGCTCCTGGTCCAACCGTGATGTCGCAGCCCCTGTCACGCACAGCATGCGCGAGGGGGCTCGTCGACTGGAATGACCTCGCTCTGCGGGGCCCCAAGAATATACACCATCACCACGTCGATTCCTCCTCCCTCCACTACCATCCTCTTCCTCTCCTCTTTTCCGGGGGAGGGAGGAGGGGAGGGAGGTCGTGGTAGTGTATAAGCTGGGGCACCGCACACTCGGCGTTTCACAAGTTTTCGGCGACTGCAAATTGAGTTTGCTGCTTGGAGCATGCAGCTGGACCTGGCGCAAAGCAATTGTTAAGCCACACTTCTTCGCGATCATCAAAGGGCAGTTCCGGCCAGAGTGTTTATCGGGTTGTCTTTCATGTAACGCTCACGCTGGAGCGTCTTGATTGCCGCACTTTGACACACCTGGCCGCGTCAGCACGTTCGTCGCGACGAACGTATTGCACGCTCGTCGCAACGATCGTGTCGCCTATGTGGGCCAGTCGTTCCGATTTTGTGTGTCCAGATCCTTTATCATGCGCGAGACGTCTCTGAACATTTTGGCCAATGGTAGGACGTCGTCCTCGAAGCGTAGATTAGCGAGCGGCTTCTCATGGCCATCGTACAAGACGCCATGATATTATCCCACGCGCCTCGCATTATTGCCACCAGCAGCGTTCGTTTGAGAGTGGAGAGTATTGACTCCAGAACTGCAGGGAGACATTACCCGCGGCGCCCAGCAGGGTGATCCATTGAGGGAGAGGAGGGGTGGGACAGAGGCACGAGGAAGACAAGGGGAGGCAGGATGGAACGAGATACTTGAGCAGGATGTGAGGACATGGAGGGCACCATGCTGCCTGCTACGAAGAGGTGGGCAGCCGAATGGGAGTGAAAGAAAGGGTATGGGGGAAACAAAAAACACACCTCACCTCACTTGGATTCCTTCCTGGGACAAGAGCAACGAGGTCTGTTCCTGGATACACATCGCACATCGCCCGCAAAGTCAGGCCACGCCTGTTTCTGTGAGCCGCGCCAATTGCGGCATGCCTCTACTGACCTGACGTGCCCTCACACTATAACGCGTCGCTTGTCTGTGTCCATGTCTGTCCACGCAGACTAGCACGCAACGCCTACTGGCCTACTGCAATCGGAGTTGGCTTCACCGCCACGCCCGCAGGCGCACGAAGGCTTTTCTTCCGGAGACGTGATGAAGGTCCCCCCCTGTACAGCCAAGGAGAGAGCCTCGTCCTAAGCCACCTGGCCACCCCGTGTGGCAGCGCTAAAATCCCGGGGTGATCCGACGGCGGCCGAACCTCCGAGCCGCAGAGACGGGTACCAGCGGGACGCCCCCGCACCCGACGTCGTGTATTTGTGCTGCATCGTGGCTTCCCGAAGACCGGCTTTTCATCCCGAGACGTCCTTTTTGACGGCCCACGCCCAGCTATGTCAAACACGTTGTGCCGTTGTCGTTGGTTCAGGACGCGAGGATGCCAGGGGCAACGAGAGAAGAAGGGCCAATGTACACCCGCCACGCGCCCACGCCGCCGTAGAGAAAGAGCGCCAAAACGTCGACGAGAGTGGAGTCCCGAGTGCTGCTCAGAAAACCCACGCGTGCGCGAGAGCGGACGTCTCCCTGGAGCGCCGCGGTCTAAACCGACTGAGCACTGGGATGCCGCCGTCAAAGAGGCGATACAGAAAAGAGGAGGGGACGGAGGGGGAAACAAAGGGCCCCCTCTGCGAGGCGGGGATCTGTGCAGAACCACTGTCGATCCCCAGGGACGTCAGGAGGCGATGGATGTGGACAGATTCGCCCCCACCAGGGGCCCGAGTACAACCATATCCACACCACCCCATTTGCCCGAAGATCGATCCATCAGGCGATGGTTAGAACCTGCATTTTTATTCCAGGGCAGTGACGGTCGTCACCAGGAGGGGGGGGGACGGAAGGGGGCGGGTGATGTCACGTCTCGCGCGACTGCGTCTGGGGAGCCCTGGAATGAACGAAAACGGGCAGGAGCAGCATGTAGGTGGCCATTTGCACCACAGCGACTGTGTGAACCACAGTGCCTGCGTGCACCACAGCGCCTGTGTACACCAGAACACCTATGTACACCACAGCAGCCGTGCGCAACACAGCGCCAATGTGCACCACGGTGCCTGCGTGCACCACAGCGCTCATGTACACTGCGCCTGCGTAAACCAGTGTACGCCACAGTGCCTGCGAACACCACGACGCCTGTACACCACGGTGGCGGTCCTCCGCGAGGCGCGTGCGCGCGTTGTGGGGCGCCGCCGCCTCGCGAGATGCTGGCGCCGTGGGCGCTGGTCCCAGCGCGCGATGGGGGGGGCGCTCCCTCGCCTGCCAGGCAGGCAGGGGAGTCCTCCTCCTCGCGAGCCGAAGCTGGAGGAGGAGGTAGAGGAGGAGGAGGATGAGGAGGGGCAGGAGGAGGAGGAGGAAAAGGAGGAGGGGGAGGAGGAGGAGGAGGAGGAGGAGGAGGAGGAGGAGGCGGAGGGGGAAGAGGAGGAGGGAAAAAAGGGGTCGCCTAAACCTTTCGGGGAAACCCTCTACCGCCGTGTTGCGTCCGCCGCCGTCCGCCCGCCGAGGGAGAGGTGGCAACGCCTTCGATCCCCGAAGGCGATGCCCCTTCTGGAACCCCCACTTACAGTAGGAGCTCGACCTCAAGAAACTTCCCCCACGAAACTCAACCCTGAGACCCCAGGGCGTCCATCGATGTTTGGTGTGGGAACGCCACGCTTTTTACAGCAAAACCATTGAAATCCAAGAAGCCTGGGGCACCGTGGAGGCAAGCAAGGTGTTTCTTGGCATGGGTTTCCACTGTATCGCCCCCCCGCCGCCTACACGCAAGAGTGACCCGAGGCAAGAGTGACCTTTAGTGCGCAGTTTTAAGGTGGCGCGGTGGGGGGGGCAAGCCAAAGCGCTCAAGCCGCTGCTAGCGGATCGCATTCAACGGTCGTGGGACTCCAGTGGGCCCGCACCAGAGGTCACTCCACCGACAGGTCATTTTTATGTGTAGCAAGGCTGAACCTAAACGGTGTGTGTTCGTTTTCCCTCGTTTTGTCTTCAATCCGCCTTTGCCGCAAACGATATCGAAACTAAAACGGCCCAAGAAATCGCCAAAACACCGTTTAGGTCCATCCTTGATGTGTAGCCGACCCCCGATTACGCACCGCCCGAGCGGGGCGCGGGGGCGGGACGCTGGCAGCAGGAGAGGGGGGCGTTCGGGCGCTCCCGCTCGTCCACGCCGTCGAGCTGGTCCCCGCGGTATCTGGGCGGAGCCGTCGTCGGTCGTAGTTCGTCGGACGTCGGTCGCCGTCGCCGTCGCCGTCGCCGTCATCGTCATCGTCATCGTCGTCGCAGTCTTCGTCGTCGTCGTCGTCGTCGGCGTCGTCGTCATCGGTCGTCAGTCGTCGGTCGTCGTCGGTCGTCGGTCGTCGGTCGTCGTCGGTCGTCGGTCGTCGTCGGTCGTCGTCGTCGTCGCCGTCGTCGTCGTCGTTGTCGTCAGGGGCGGGCCTGGGCCGGGCTCCGCACATACGAGGAAAGGCCCTGGCATCTTAAGACGCCCCCCCCCGCGCCCTCTTAGGAGGCCGCCCGCCTCGCGGTCTCTCCATGTGCGCGCCGCCAATCCTCCCCCTCCCTCCTCCTCCTCCTCCTCCTCCTCCACCTCCTGCTCCTGCTCCTCCTCGTCCTCGTCGTCGTCGTCGTCGTCCTCGTCCTCCTCCTCCCCTGCATCCTCGTCCTCCCTGCTCCCCAAAGGCGACGCGCGCGCCCTCCCTTGCCGGCGAGCCTCGCAACGAGGAAGGCCCCGCAAACGACTACACCGGCCAAGCTCACGATGAGGTCCGTCGGCCTGCGCACCGACAGGTTCGTTGGATGCTATATATATATATATATATATATATCAATGGAGAAGCGGTGCTCACCCACGACCAGGTGCATCTGCCAGAAGGATGGAACGTGCAGAAGACAGAAGGTCCTGACCCCGGCCCATCGCTCGGACTTCCATTCTCCGTGTATTCCTCGGCTTCGTGGGTATGTGTCCGCAAGGTGATCCAACATGCTCAGAGACAGATGCACACGTCTGAGCGATGCCACGTGACCCGGGCTCATCGCACTGATGGCCGCCATGAAATTGCGGAGCGTGCTCAAACTTGGGAGCCTAGTATAGCGCTGCCGACCGCTGGCCAGCGGACTAATTGCAAGGCAATTGAAGGAACAGTCTTGGCAACATCGACGATCTCCCTCTCTCTCTCTCTCTCTGTCCAAATAGACGTCCCCCCCCAAAAAAAACATGCTCGATCCATGATTCTCGATCTTTGGCGGGGTTGGCGACCCTCTCAGTGGTGAAGCCCCTTGTCGGGTGGGACGAATCGGGTGGGACGAAATGGTGGGCTGGCGAATCAGCTCACGCAGCTGATTTTCCCGGCGACTCCCGGCGCCAAAGGCGCCCGTGCATCGAGACAAGCGCCCGGCGGCGGGGCCGAAACCGGGTACACGTCGCAGATGCCGAACTCCTCAGCCCCAGCCCAGACCTTCTACAAGGAGGCAGACACAAGCAGGAGGTGCTGCCAAGGGGGGCCACAACGCCGCCCCAAGAAATCTTCACGGACCTTCAAAACCCATGCTCGAGAAACTTCCGTTCGTCGATCGGCCCTGCCCGAGTGCCTGGGATCGGCCTGGCCAGGATCCGCGAGGTGGCCAGCTGACATCCCACGACAGTCAGTAAGTTAGCCTCCTCGTCCCCGGGGGGGGGGAGGAGAGAGAGGATGAGGATGAGGATGAGGATGAGGAGGAGGAGGAGGAGGAGGAGGAGGAGGAGGATCAAGAGGAGGAGGATCAAGAGGAGGAGGATCAAGAGGAGGAGGAGGAGGAGGAGGATCAAGAGGGAAGAGTTTGATGAACAAATGCGAGGAGGATTCTAGGACTCTAAGCTGACCTCGCGCGCATCCGCAATTGGCAAGAGGTCCAGGAGAAAGACAAACACAGGCAGCCACCAGGGATGACGGCGACGGCGGCAAGCGAGACGGCGACGGCGGCACGGACACGACCTCAGCTGCGCGACCGACGGCGGCGACGACGACGACGAGGCAGCTGCCGCTCGCACGGGGCGGGCGCGGGAAGGCACCACCCGCGCACCGCGCTCGCTCCCGCGCGGATGCTGGGCAGAGACGCGCTGCCCGTCAGATGGGATATCCGGCATGACAACTGCGACCATGCCTGGGGATCGTCAAACCAGCCACCCGCCCCAAGATGCATACGCTCCAATGTACTGAACACAAGACGTAACGGTCTGGACTGCCCATGCCTGAAAACTTCGATTTGTGGCATCAAGACTGAGTTCAATTGGTCCTCATTCTCCGCTCTGTCAATTCAGGTGGCCCAGAACAGTTTTATCAATTCAAATGGCCCAAACTCCACCTTGTTGAGCAGGGACCGACCGTCCCGGCATTCGTATAGTCCTACCACCAAATGTTCTTAGGACCTAAACATGTTCGAATAACAAAAACAATAACAATGTT